GCGGGAATTAGTGTTAGCGGATCAGCAAGTTGCTGGCCGAACAAACGGGGCAACTGGTTAGGCTGATATCTCGTAGTGGGTTGTACACTCCTAGGTGTATCAGAGGGAGGACTACCGGAAGGAGGTCTATGCGGGGCAAGTCTTCCACCGGATGGCAGCTCCTCCTGAGTGTTGGCGCCTGAAGCAGCTGTTGATGCCCACCACGAGTTGTCTAGCACTGGAGGTGCGGCTGCCGATGAGGCAGCCTGCGAGGCCCACGCTGTATCGTGAGGCACTGATGGCACATTAGCGGGCTTACCATACGGGTATGGGTAAGGATTAGGTGGCTTCCTCTTAGGAGTTACTGGTCTCGGCGGAGCTGCTACTGGATGTCGACTTGGATCCCGTTCCCAAGAAGCTGATCGTCCGGTTAGCGAACCTGGCGGGGTCTTGTAGGGAAGCCCCGATGCAGAATGTTGGCTAGGTGGTCGATCAGGGGTCTTACGTCTTGGGGATTGTTTAAGGGATCTTGGAGTCGATGGCTTGCCTTGGTCGTCGTCACCATCCCCAGGTGGGTTTGGATCAGACGGGGCAGCGGCCGTGAGTCCCGCGCCAACTGGTACTCGATTCCCAGCCGGCAGCGGCTTGCCCGTGTTGTCAGTCTCCACGTGCACCGGTCTCTTACGCTCTTCGAACGCCTCGTAAGCTCGCCGTTTGGCCTCGGCAGACAGCTGTCTAGCCTCGGGCGGCGGTGGCTTAACCTTAGTAGGAGGTGACCTAGAACGAACAGGGCGCGCCTTCGAGGGCGGCTTTGGTGCTTGTGGTGTTGCGGACGACGAATGGACTGGCACCACAGACGGCGGTGCACTGCGAGATCTCGCCATCTTGACAACAGGGGACTTGGCAATCGGGGGCGCAATAGGTGCTTGGGTCAACGGTGGCGCATTCCGCGCCGAAGGCGGCGGCTGTGGCGATACCGCTGGAACAAACACTGGGTCAACTACCAAAGAGAGCTGAGGCTCAATAATGGGCACTCTAGGTCTGGCAGCAGTTGAGGCACCCTTAGATTTACCAACTTTAGGGACTACAATTACTTGTCGGACATGAGGGGGCGTTATTGGGGGCGTCCCCTTTAGTCGGCGCTCACGAGAACGCGGACGCGTTTGGATGCAGGTTCGACAAGACTGGGTTTAGAATGACTAGATTGGCTAGTCTTAGGACGCTCACCTTCGAGCCAAGTGAGCCAGCCGGCGTCCTCAGTTCGACCCTCAAGGTTACGAATGCGGCGAGAGCGGGCTTCAGGTTCGGAATTGTCCGAATCTTCGGCATCTAGCTCATACACGTCTGCATTCGGATCAACCTGGATGGTAGCGGATGAGGGGAGCAGGTGGTCTCCTTCGGCTTGTGGAGCGCTAGACCAGTCGAGGTCGTACACACGGTCTCGTGCCTCTTCAAGCGGCACCGACGGCTCATGCTCACGGTCCCACTGGGTCCTGCGCAAGCGAAAGGATGTCAAGTGTCGATGAAGGAACGCACCAGGACCTGGGGTCATAACGACCGGGCGAACTGGTTCCGCGCCGGAGGCAGCGGCTTTTGCACTCGTTGTCGGTTGGTCCTGATCTGACTTGGGCGCCTCAGGAGAGGCAGCCCCTTGCTCTTCGGTTTCTTCCTCCTCCACAGTCAAGTCAAGACGGTCAGCATCAGGCTTAGGCGGGCTCACTGCAGAGGCAGATGGGACAGTATAAGGTGGACAGGCATCGGATGCAAGACCCTGTGGAGGTAATGGCGCTGGACCTTTCGGTGGAGAGGGAAGACGAAGAGGTAACGAAGGCTTGGGCACTTCGACAAACGCACTCCCAGCTTTCATCTGTACAGGTCCGGCACTTGTAGGGTCAACCGGTGGTACCTTAGGGGGCGGACTATGGGGTACAGATTCACTGGTAGGCATCGAAGTGTCCGCGCCAGAGGCTGCGGCTTGCTTGGACTTTGGGCCAGCGGCCTCTGACTTCGGCTTGGCTGACTTGACCTTGGCTTCAACTTCGGCACGAGGCTTGAGCACAACCGGGGTTTGGCCACGATCAAGTGTGGGACGCCAACCCCCTGCAGCGGAGGATGCACCGGTCGTCGCTTGAGCGGCTGCAGAGGCCTTAGGTGCGGCGGACCGAGATCGATCGGTGCGAGGGGGAGCGGCAGAGGATGAGGCTTTGGAGCCCGAATCGGACACTGTCCTTGGTGGAGCAACCTTGGTTTCGGCCGAACGCATGGCGAAGAGGCACGAAGGGATGGTCCGAAGTCCAGTATCCTTTGGGTAGCCTATACTTAGGTTGTGGCATACCTTGCAACAGAGTGGGATTGATGGAGTAAAGGAACTGCCAAAGCTCAGGTAGAATGGTAGCCCATTGAAGAATGGTATCTACTGGCAACAGCTCCCCGTCCGTGTTGAATGCCCACCTGTCGGAGTGTCGAAGGACGTACCCGAACCACTCCGGGTATTGCTTGCGAGCCACCTGCGGTGGGATGTGTGGGAGATGGAAACGGCGGCCGAACCGTGCATAGGTCGAGTCACCTAGCTGAGCGCTGATGTACTCGCACGTTGTCCCATAGGCGAGGTTTTCTCTCCCGGCAACGTGCTTCGCTCCGGCCCTGCGCCCTCTCCTGCGGGTGCGGTCCCTCTCTCCCTGTCCCGCGCTTGAAGCAGCGGCTTCACCACCCTCACTCTCCGGCTGCGGTCCTCCAATCTCGACGTTTGCAAGCTCCGGCTGAACGCCAGCCTCGGCTGCAGTGGCTTCCAGGGCAGCCTCGAGGTCGTACTGCTCCTGGATCCGTCGAGCAATCTCTTCGTTCTCCTCGTCTTCGACGGTTGACTCTTCGTCGTCTCCAAGGGGATCGAAATTATTACTAGTGGGGACAGGCGGACTATGTGGGGTCGACGAAGCCTGTGCAATTAAGCGTTCAGGTGGGACGGCTCGTCCAGCGTAGGGACCGGCTGGTCTTGGTCTACGAGGTTGAGGGAATTCGAATCCTCCATCAAGGCTTGAATGCTTGGGTCGATGGGGCCTGCAGCAATGGGTTGATCTCCTAACGAATGCTCGGGGTCTTGCTTGACTTGGTCCGAGATGTTTGGAGAGGTCTCAACCACAGGGTCGACGGGTGCCGCGCCTAGAGCAGCGGCACCCTCGCCTGGTGTGTCTTGTCCGTCCCACTCGACGTCCGGACCGGCAAAGGGCTCCTCTGGTTCGACTTCGCGGTCGTCGGCCTCAATCTCGGAGAACGGGAACAAAGTTGGACCCGAACCTGCTGAGGATGCAGCACTACCACGTCTCGAACTATCGCTGCCCGCGCCTGCGGCAGCGGCTGGGGGGTCCAACGGCTCTACGAACAGTTCGAGGGCACTGGCGCCCTGTTCGCCTAGATGGACGAGCGATGTCACCTCCAGCTCCGGCTCACCTATACTTACGCCTAACGAATCCGCGCTTGGAGCAGCGGCTTGCGTTTGGGCAGCTGCTGGCTCGGATCTTTGGTCAGGCGTTGGGGTAACACTTGGCCCTAACGACGAATCCGCGCCGGAGGCTGCGGCTTGCGCCGGCTCCGAGCGGGGAGATCTAGGGGGTGTTACTCTAGGCATTGAGTCTATTAGGGGCGGACTATTAGAGCTCGTAGGTTGGTTAGACCTACGGCTGATAACCAGTGAAAGTGACAAGGGTTCAGGTATATCAGCAGGAAACAGCCACCACAATCTACGGAGTGGGAGGTGTTCAGAGAGATAACCAATTGTATCAAGAACCCTAGCACGGGATGGGACACGACGAGGGACCCCGGAGGGCTTGGTCCCCGTGGTGTAAAAGGGGTGTGTGGCCTAAGGAGGGAGCGCCTACGGCAACCGACCCGAAACCAAACACAACCCGAAAGCAACGAATGCGCGAAAGTGCAACGGGGCGACGATCGAACGACCGGCGTCCACGAGTGCTGAAAACAAGCACTGGCGCGCTTGTTTCTTGAGCCATAATGTGTCGGTGTGACACGCGTTTGGTTTGACATGTCTGTACAAATCCCTCAACACAGCGTGGCAAGTTAGGGGTCCCCTTTGTGTGGAAAACTTTGACTATAAAGTGACCTAGAGCTCTTTATCTTATTGCTAAGAGAATACGGGGATGTAGAGCGTTATGGTAGATACGGAAAGAGGCAATGTTAAAAAGTCTGACATACTGTAAACGAGCTATTGGATGCATTCTACCAAGTAGAAGGCCACATGTCGGATGTGCAAAACGTGAGAAGGTCGCCGAAACTGAGCTGCGGTCACCGACTGCCGATGTTGCAGTTGTGCCGAAGCTGCTGTTGGAAAAAGAAAGGTGGGATGAGGGGGATTGCCAGAGTGTTAAGATGCCGTTGAAAAACGATGATTGCGATGCCACCGTGACCACCATGTTGAATGTTGTCGAAAATCTACGGTTGTGATGCCAAAGCGTGAAGCTGTTGTTCAATATCTGTGATTGTGATCCTACGGTTAGGCGAGGCCTCGGTGGAAATTTGCATGACTCCATGCCGCTGGTGAGTGGAATCGTTGGTGATGCCAACAGCGCTTGGTGCCGCTGCATCAGGTTTATTGTGGTGGAAGGTATGGTGAGGCCTGGGTGGACAGTGTGTTTTGCGTGTTTCGGTGCCGTTAGGGAACTGGAAGAATACGTGTGTAAATTGCACGTGTCTGCCGGCCTGGGTGCTTCTGCCCCTTTCTTGCAACTTTGCTTTCTTAATGGTTCCTTCCTTCCGTCCTGCTTCCTTGCATGCTTCCACGCTTACCTGGCTGGAAAGAAATGATAGGAAACAAAAGGAAAACAAGCAAAGAAGCAAAAAAGCAGAAAACGTGGAGAAGCGCAAAAGCAGAAAGCAGAGCTGAAAAAAGAACAGAAAGCAGAAGGACAGCAAACAAGCAAAAAAACGAACCATAAATTTATACAATTCCCGATGGCCTACTGACTTAGAAAGGCACAGGCCACTGTGCTTGTGATTCAGGCCCAAAGCACCATCCGAGACTTCGTTGATCCTCCACTGCATATCCACCTGTGTAAGGTGAATCCGGTAACAAGTGGTGCAACTGCTCCTTCCTTGTGAGATCAGCTCACCCAGGACAATTCAAACAGCTGGAGGCAGCTGCAGCTGCTATACATTTATTGTTGTCTAATTATCAGGCCCAACGGCTGGAGGCCCTGCATCAGCTGGAGAACTGAAGGTGCGTCAAACAGCATCACAGCTGGCAGACCTGCCCTAGCAATAGCAACAAGAACATGCAGAATCCTAGCTTTGAACTCAGGTGTTCCAATTGTCAGTTAGATCATGTGCTGTGCTGTAGGCTCCCCGACACTTAGGCCCCACCACCTTGCCTGCAAGACATGCGCCAAGTGTTGGCAACGCGCAGTCTGCGCAACATCTCCAAGAAGTGCTCCAATGGAAAGGTTCCTCAGATTCCAAGAGCATCAAATGCAAGTGCTCTCATGAAGAGAAGGTTGCAAAGAGGATTGCACTCGACTGGTCCGTTTGTGGACCAAGCTGTTTAGACGATGATGGGAAGGTTCCAAACTTGCTCCACGGCAGGCCTTCAAGAAGAACAGAAAGGAAAGTCTTGGGCTGGCGAGAACACTGCCATACACAGGAATGCTGCAGAAAATTGATTTGCCGTTTCTTTTGATTAAGCACGTGTGGCATTGTTTCTCCAGAAAGCTTTCCATTCTCTTTATCAAGGCATCGAATCATGCTTCTGTGCTTGATAAGCAGCAAAAAACGGCTGCGGCTAGTATGCTGAATCAAGTCGCATAAAAAACGTTGTCCGCCACCAATCACCACCTCGACAAGTGCAGTGCAATTAGTGTCCTTCTCTGGCTCGACGGGGCTCAGAAATATTGCAGACAAAATGCAATACATGATGTGCTGTGACACTCCAGGATCGTTAAAGCAATCCTTCCTCATGACGGTTGCATGACCTCTTGGGATCATGCGTTTTCCACCTAGGCCAAATGCAGAAATTACTCATTTCCAAAGAACAGCTCTCAAGCAAAAAAACAACTGTTCGTTGACAGGCTTGTGACGGCTAGTTGGGAGCCATATTAAAGTCATGCCCGCTGCCAAAGAACCCAAGATCGATAGCAAGGTGGACTTTCCAGCTCCATTCGCCCCGACCACCAGAATGCGTGCACCGCGGCTAAAGTGGAAGGACACGTTCTGCAGTTGAGGTGTGCCGCCAGCCTGGTCACTGGAGTTTTGAAACCAACTGACCAAACACACCAAGTGAATGAAGCTGAGCATAGCTGAGCAGCATAACTATAGGTGAGGTTCTTACTTTCCAGGACGGGCCCGTCGACTGCTTCCACAGGTGGACCAGTCGAGGATGCATCCTCATGATATAAATTAACATTGAAACGGTCACAACATGTCACAACAACATCAACATGCCACTGGTTTAGGCCGCTTGAACCTAATCGAACTCACAAAGCATCAGCTCCATTCGACGATCGCGCCAATTTTCGTCTATACACTTCAAAATCAAGTCCGCACTGTGCTTTCTGTGTTGCTGGGTCCTGCTGCACAGCTCCAGTTTCGCCATAACTCTGTACAATCCATTGCTTCATCAAGGTGTACAAGGGACAACGGGTATTCTTGGCCAGCTGGTGGTACTCATGCAAGTCCTGATCAGCGTAGGTGAAACAAGGTCAGGAAAGAGATTCATAACTTATGGTGTGTTGCTACTCTCTGACCATTCTTTGGTCAAGGCACAGATATCCGGCAGCATCGTTGCACCTTTCCAGCTGAGAAAAAGAGCAGGTGCGTGGCCCACTCAGCCAGGTGATCAAAACTGTGGGTCGCGTAGAAAATTGTCCTTAGAGTCCCGACAAAGAGATGGCAAATCCCTTACCTTCTGGTATTTATGCTCTTAAAGTGTTGCAATCTTGAATCAACTGACCATAACAATACAGTGTATATATATAATTATTGCGAACGGATGGAAAGTGTGCCCTGGCCCCGTTCTAGCCCTTAGTTCAACATGAAGCACGCGCCCTAAAGCTCCTTTTTACCTGGTTGGGCACTTGAGCCAAAAGTATATGGCATGTACCTGTATAGCAACTATACTGGGACCTCATCCCTATTGACACCCCCACATCCGTGCTTCGACGGGGAAGGGAGATGAGTGGATGTAAAAACCGGAGAACGAATCATGTTCTCAAAAGTGCATTGGAGGTCAACCAGTATGTCCTATCAAACTGAATTAGCAAACGATCTTGCATTCGCTTGAAAGTTGGATCAAACAGGTAATGGAGCTACAAACGGAAGACGTGCATCCACCTGTGGTATCATGCGATTACCAACGGTGTGGAACACAATCCTGTCTCACTCCCATGATGCCAAAACGGTCATCATGAATTACCCAAGATCCCTCAGTACTTGAAGTACCGGAAGTGGTATGTCGGCGTGACCCCAATGCTCAACCATTCGTGAGTTGTCGCATGTAGTCAGCTCCGACAAAGCCAATGTAGTCCTTGATGAGCTCAACGTTCCTTGGGTTTCCCCTTCGGATCTGCTCCTCAAAGAACTTCAATTTCTGTGCTTGAACATCGGATACCTCTATGCCATAGTAGCGGCATGCAACGAGGATCTCCTTCGTGACATTCTTCCGCTCTGATTTGATGGCGGGGCTAATGTCGATGAATTTGTATGGAGCGGCACTTTCGTCATCTGGTTTCTGGTAGTAACTATACCGGCTCGCTCCAAAGGTCTTCCTGATCAAGCGTCTGATGAAATTTGAGATGAATGCCAGCTCCTCGATGATCTCTTCCTGGGTCTCAGATCTTCGAGCTTTTGGATCACTCATGTTACGCCGAGTGCTGCCGACCTCCCTGAGGTACTTGTGGCTAAGCCCACAGCGGATTGCAGTGATCATCATCGGGTGAATAACGTGGGCGTGGAATTCATAGATCTGCCACGCTTCTGTTGCATACGTGTCGTTGGTCCATTTGCTCATGCCTACGACCTCGGCTCTCTGAAGGCGTCTTGGAAACCCAGTATCCGGATCATTCGGTACTATTGGCCATCTATTGTATGGAGTATCATGCCGCTGTCCATCGTCGAACTTTCGCAGTACGTCTTCACGACTCTCAAAGCAATTGATGTCGAACGTTGCGTTGGCCAAGCTCTTGATCAACTTCATCAACCTCAGGTCAAATTGCTGAGTGACTGCAAAGTTGTGGTCGATGGGGATCGCAGCTTCTTGCGGCAATTCGTCAATTGCGAAGGGGAAAGGCTGTGGAAGTTCATTCCCGTATCCATCTTGAGGGACCTCCCGATATTCGGGTTCGCCTTCAGTTTCGTCCGGTCGTTCCTTCAAAATGATAGGAACTTCCTCGTCTTCCTCTCCTTCGGATTCCTCGACGTCAATGACTTCTTCGGCTGTCTTGCGTGCATTCTTGATGACTTCATCGATGTTTGCACCCGCAGCAGAAGTTGCCTCACCGGAAGAACTGGCTGGAGCATCTCTCGGAGGTGATCGTTGATTGCGGTCCCTTGTCTCCTTGGGTACCACATGCGTGAGCTTCCCTTTCGCGATCAAAACCGCTACGCAGTGCGGACATATCGTCAATCGCACATCGACTTCGCCAAGACAGTTAGGGCACGGTCTTGAGTCATAGTCTTTCATTGCTCGGCGGTACACGATCTCCTCAAAGATTTCCTGCCACTCGGTGCTATCATACTCTGGGTAGACACCGCTCTCCTCGATCATGCCCAACAGCTTTGAGATTTTGGCGTCGTCCTCGGAGTAGGTATCGTCCTGAACCTCAACCGCTAAACTCTCAAGCTTTTGATAGCGTGGAGTCATGATCGGGTTTCCGTATTTGGACTCCAGAACAAGGTAGCTTCCAGGGTCGGGTTCTCTATTGAGTAACCTGATCCATTCAATCTCCTCAGGCTGTCCGGGTTCCGCATTGTCGCACTGCAACCATGCCCCTTTAACCTCATCGAAGGGAACGACGTCCTCAACCAATAGAGATCCAGTCGCTGAGATGAGAAGTCCGTACTCCTGCAGCTTCCACACCGGAATGTAGAGAACCACTGGGCGATCACTCAATGCGACCTTACGACCCAGCCAAGGTTTTCCCTTGTAGCCCTGTTCCCAGGCCCATGGCGGAAAACATGTGAAGTGGATAGAATCCCTTCCCGATGAACCGAGACCTCCTGGCACTAGCCCCCGTCGCATGATTGAAGTCAGCGCTCCAAGATTGGTAGCGTGAAATGCGGTCACCATGGATAGGGCCATGTCGTTGGTCATTCTCGATCCAATGTGGTCGATGTTGATGGTAACGTCATAACCTCCGCCGTCCGACGAGTGTGCTGAGGTTGCTCTTACGGCCACGGGAAAGCACCATCCATCGCTATGGTGTAGTCTCCCTTTGGATATTCCCATGCCCTTGAGCTCGTCAATCCATTCCTTCTCCATCGGGTCATCAGGATCATTGAGTTCATCAGGGTGAACGCGGACCGCCAACATTTGGAACCTGATCCTCTTGGTTATGCGGAAACACTCATAGTTCTGGTCGAGGTACTTCTCCAAACGCGCCTTCTTGGTCACGATGTCTATATTGCCATAGTGATAACCGTCTTCCCAAACTGCGTTATCACCTAACAGGTCTTCCCATGACACCCATGCGCCTTCGTCGCATTTGATTGGTGTGAGTCTTCCTCCTGTCCTGAACTGGCGTCCAATTCGATGCCTCAACTTCGCTCCCAATCGACGACTCAGGGCCTGGCTCGCTTGGCTGTATTCTGGTACTCGACAGTCTGGAGTCGGATACTTGTGGTTGCCGTAGTCGGAGTTCTGCGCAGCGAAAGTGACTCCGTTGATCGGTACTAGCTCAACTTTCCCGACCATTGTCATGGGGTCGATCGGCTTGTATCCCTTCTCCCTCCGTGTCGGTAGGGGATAGAATTGATGACATGCCCTTGGTTTGAGGGAACTGGAGTGCACAAATGCCTTCTCTACAAATTCGTATACCACCCTCATATCCCTAGGGCCCACTTCCGCAAGCTTCCGCCCATTGTAGGAATGTGTCCCTCCTTCGACTCCATCGGCACTTTCAATCAATGTGAACCCGTCATGGTCGAACATTGTCACGACTCTTGCTTTCAACATTTCTTTTCGTCTGAACTCGCTGTCGACCTTCCTATCTGGAGTAGGCGATGCTCTCTGTTTCTTCTTCTTAGGCTCCTCGGTTGGATGTCCGGATGGTACATCGTCGGGTGCAACCTCTCCCTTCACTCTCTTCTTCCAATCACTCAACACTGAGGTGACTGTGGGTGAAGATGAAGGGATCTTCTCGCAATTGAGAGTCGTGTGTCCCGACTTCATGCAGTGGATGCAGAACTCTGCTTGCCCGATCTTCTTCTCGAATTCGTCGATGGCTTGCAGTATTGATGTCTTCGGATCGGACATGTCAACGTCTTGCTCCTCCTTCTCCTGTTCACCTTCAGTCTCCATATCGACACCTTCGGCCTCGGGCTGGTCAGTGGCTTCTGCTCCCTGTTCTGGTTCTTTCCCAATTTCGAAGAAGTGGTCGATGTCGAATTCAGGAGGCGGCATGGTCCTCATGCGAACGAGAATCAGTGCCACGTTTGCCGCCTCATCAGAGTGCGGGTCCAATGTCCTGATCATCGATCGCTTTCGGTTCTCATACGTTGTCCTGTCGTACAGTGATGCAGTGACACGCTTGATGGATTCTTCTAATCCCGTCCTCAAAGCCTCAATGTCACCCCATCCCAAGAACAGGTGTTTGAAGAGTTGAGCAATTTCTAACATGCCCAGCAGCGCTTCCACCATATCACCTACCCGTTCCTCCGTGGGATCATCTCCGAACATCGTGCGGAATACATCGGGCTCCAATATGGTCTTGAGGTATTTGGTGTAGCACACGTTTCCAAGGTCATAGGATCCCTGGTAGTACTTGGCGCTGCCGATTATCTGCTTCTCCACATGGATACTGGGCCCTCTTCTCGTTTTGAAGAAGTTCTCCGTCATTGTCGATGACAACCTGATCCCCCCGAAGAACGAGATCTCCTTCTGGAAACCTGGGTTCCCGTTAAAGATGATCATCGCTTCGTGTAAGAACTTCATCATGTCTACGTGCGGGTTCATCTCGGAGATCATGACGGTGGGAGAAGATACCGTTTGCCCCATGCCGAAGTTGTGAAGCAATCGAGCACATGCATGAAATCGCTTCTGGACGTAGTCTTCTGCGGACATCCCACGGCATCTATTTGCTGCTCCGTTGATGCATTCTGCATAGCAATCGTCTTTCAAATCGGAGTCTATGGGATTGCAGACCAAACAGTAATCGCAGCAAATCTCCTCACCCTCCTTGAAGTCATCAATGACGTACCATCTTTGAGTCCTCGAGTATATTGGGTTCTGGCTGAAGGACTCCCCAGTACTCATCCATCCATGGCATCTTATTCTCCCTCCTTACCTTCTCCCTCTTCCTCCGCTCAGACTCGTTCTCACCTGAAGCTCCCGCAGCGGACTGATATGCATGGCTTCCTCTTACGGAGTCTCCGAACAAGTACTGATACAACCTCTCTTTGTCCTGCAACACGTGTTCCAAGTTGGGATCATGGAGGTTATTCGCTTCGGTCAAGGGATCCGGTGCCATAAAACAAGAAGCGAGCATCTTCTCTCTGAACAAATACTTTTCCATGACAGCGTGGACCAAAGAGGTTCCAGACTTCATAGAGTATGGGTGACCGCCTCCGGCGACCGAAATGGCTCGCCAGAATCTGTCCGACGTCGTGGACATCATGCCATTCAGCGACAGCTCGTCCTTGATCATGTTGGCG